TACCAGGTGAAGAAGAAAAACATTATTTCATCACTCCTCACAGTTCTTCCATCCACAAATGGGAATGTTGCTGCATTTGTAAACACAACCATGAAAACACACGTAAATAATCTTGGAAGTTACTCTCCCTATCAGTATGCAATTATGGGTTTCAAAACCCCAGACTTGCTCAAGGGCTACCTTAACAGAGTATCCAAACGAATGAAACATGAACTTGAGGCATTTTAGTGAAGGATAAGGAGGGAATATATTTAATCCCAAGGTGGGCTAAAGGCAACAGTAAGAAGATCCAGAATGAGAGGACAAAACTCTACTGGGCTGATCATAGTTTAGGAGAAAAATCCTAGAACATGGCATTTTAAAGACCCTAAGCTAATTTTGGGCAAGTCACAGAACATTCGAGATCTTTTCAAAGTCTCAGGTTCCCAATATTAAAATAATATCCTCATTTTCACTCTTTCACAGGAGAGTCGGGAAGAGAAATGGAAACCATGCCTGGCTGCTTCTGTAAGCAGTGAAACACTGTGGAATTTGAGACATCATTACAGTAATTGCCAGCCAGTGTCATCATCACATAAGTAGAGGGATGTATGAGAGGTGCTAAAAGAAGGAACATCAAAGGTGATAAGATATAAAGTTATTAGAAGTAGAATGCCTTCTACACAGAAAGGTGGTTAAAATTATTTTGTAAATGAAAACTTTGTTTACTCAGTGGCAGAGAGATCATTCAATCCTCAGGACAGCTCCATGAAGTAGGTATTATTTCCATTTTAAAAATTAAGAAACTGAAGCTAAGAGGTTAAGAGCCTTGCTAAGAGCCACATGGGTAGAACGTAGTAACAACCAGGTTCCAAACCAGTTATTTAAATTCCAAATCCAGTGTACTTTTGTGTCTCATTACCGTGGCGTTTTGTGTTCACAACACAAGCTTGAGCCTCAGAGGATCTCCCGTGCACTGTATTAAATTTTAATAAGTTGATCACTTGAAATGCATTTCACGGTATTTCTGCAAGACCTACCGTGCGGGCACCGCTGAATGGCGGAGGCAGAGGCAACGCTAAAAAGGAGGAAGGACAAAATGAGAGGAAAGGGTGACTGGGAGCCGGGCCAGGAGCGCAGCAAAATTGTTACTGTTGTCGAATATTACAGAGTATCCAGTAAATTTGCTAATGAAGATCAGCAGTGGCCCCCGGTAAAAAAAAGACTTTAACATAGCAAGGGTAACGTCCCTCATTCTCGATTATTCTCAATTAAGGATGAATGGAGACGAAGGGACTGGTGGTGGAAAGGGTGGTCCAAGTAAATTGCCCCTGAAGAGAAGTTAGGACAAAAGAAGGTGACGGTTGTCTTTCTTTAAAGTCAAATTTAAAAAAAACAAAAAACAAAAAACAAAAAACAACAACAACAAAAAAAATAAAGTCAAATTTTAATTACAGAAGCCGGCATCCATTCCTCTTGTAAAATCTGGCCCATTACATATGAAGCTAAAGTCCCCTTTCATTACTGCTCCTAATCCCCATCCTGTTAGCAATGTAATGTGTATCCTTCCAGTCCTTTCTGTGCACATTTATATATGTCGTGGTAGGAAATGTATTTTATTTTACATAAAAGGTGTTATATTCCGTATTTATCTGCACTGTGACTTTTTCATTCAACAACGGCTCCTGGAGAATAATGGCACTTAAAGATCCCATCTCTGTATTTACGAACATTTAGGTAATTTCCAATTTCACTATTAACAACAATGCCTCAAACGAACATTGTGACGTATGCCTCCTTGAGCACAAAAGGGTCTTTCTAGGGGAGATACCAAGAGTGGCATTGTTGGGTCTTGGGTATGGATATTTGAAAATTTTGCCAAATTGCCCTCCGACGTGGCTGTTATTAGTTATAACGCCCTCTTAGCAGCAGTGTTTCCTTTCGGGGATTTTAAAGAACAAAAATGCTTTTGGTTCTGATTACAAAAGGTTCACAACAGAAAGGAATGGATGCCTTAAGCATCATTTCGGTGTGAAACTTTACATAATCGCATACTAGGAGGAGAGTCCGAGGAGATGCTGGATGGAGAACGCTAGACCCCTGAGGAAATATTAGGGGAGTTCAGGGCAGGAATGAAAGCATCTGTCCTAGATGGGAGAAGGGGCTCCTGTTCTAAGGACGCAGGCAGTGCTTTGTTTTCATGGCTGCATGAAGTAGAAAGCAAGGTAGAAGGTTGGCATGGGGACTGCAGAATGCAGACACATGTGAAAAGAGCAAGTTTTACGGGGGAAATGAGAAGGCAGGTGCCTGGGACAGTGTTTCTCAAAGTGTGTTTGAGGAACACTGACTCTGCAAGAGGAGTAGACAAAAAAGTGTTCTGAAAAAAGTGGTTAAGAAATAATTCGGTAAATTCTGCTAATTAAGTCCTGCTTTTAGAGAATTACAACATGTCAACATACTCAAGGCTGAAACAAAGAACAAAGTTGTTCAACTCGGCATTTCCCATGGGAACCGTCTCAACACTAGACCCTTTCCTCTGTGTAAAGCCAGTTAACATACTGCTGAACCAATGTGCCGTGAAATACACTTTGGGAAACACTGGACGAGTGAAAATTTGAAGAAATGGACAACAAGTGAGTGTCCGGCTTGCCTTCACAAATTTATTTGAAAACAAAATGAAACTAAAAATACACAGAACTGAATAAACATCCATGTACTCACCCTCAGAATTAAAAGGCGAAGAGAAAATTATAATAAATGTTAATGCTTATTTTTCTATTATGGACATATGATCATGATACAAATTTGGGAACTAGAGGAAACAGAGGTGGTCATTCTACCACCTTAGGTAAAACCACTGTTAATGTTTTGAGGCAGTTCTTTGAATCTTTATTTCTATTAGTTTTTTTATTGTTTATATCATTATAATACAACACATGCAATCTCCTTTCACGTTAAATATTTACATTGTACTGTAAGCACCGTTGTACCTTTCCCTGGCTGTCTTTTTAATGGCTGCATAATATTCCAAGTGAAGAGTCCACTATTTATTCTCCTTGGTTTTAGAATTTACATTGCTAGCAGCTCTTTCTTTCTTAGCTTTGTATGTAATATTGCAATGATTACGTTACAGCATAAAACTCCTTACTTACATTTATTTTCTTAGGACTTATTTGCCAAGTGGAATAACAGTTACAAGGTAGTGTACATTTTGAAGGGTTTTGAAAAAATACTGCCTATTTGCTTTGAGCAGGCACGCAGAGAGGTTGTATTGTCGATGTATCAAAGTGCCTGTTTGCTGTTTCCCTCCAAATTTAATGCAGGTTTCAGTTTGTTAGCACTGGTCCATTTTTTTACAAATCCCAATTTGCTATTTACCGCATTACCTATCCCCACTGTTTTTGCAACACATTGCTGATCTGCTAAATATGCTAGGCAGTAGATAACCTTTTTTGAAGAAACGTTCAGGACAGAGTCCAAAGGAAGATGGTAAAGACCATGTACGAATTTACCAATACTCTTCGGATATTGTTTAAAGCACTCCAATGGCAGCTTTAGCAACATTTCAATTATGACTAATCAAAGATACTCAAGTCACCTAACTAAAGTATCTTAGTCTACTTTTCTCCATCTTGTTCGCAATGATTTAATAGGAAACTCTGTCAAATGTGGTAGTGAGGGATGATTTATCGTTGGCATTTCCCCTCGGGATTCTCAGTAACTCTTGAGGACACAGGCTGTATTTTACATATTTTTGTTTATCATAGCCTAGCACAGAACTTGATACATAGATTCTCAATAAAGGTTTATTACAGTGATATGCTTAATTTGGCATGGATTTAATGAACCTAGGTTGTCTCACCAGACACAGCTATGCTTTCCAAGCAATCAGTAAATATATATGCTCATTTAGGAATGGCAAATGTGTGATGGAAAGAGCACATGTTTTGTAATTAGAAGTCTTGAATTAAAAAAATAAAAACATTTTTTTAAGTAGTCTTCAAGCCTAGCGTGAACCCCAACGCCAGGCTTAACCTCATGACCTGATCAAGACCTGAGCTAAGATTAAGAGTTGGACCTAGAAGTCCTGAATTGAAATCGTAGCTTTGAGATTTACAAGCTGGTAACTTTGTGTAAATCCACACCTTACTCAGTTTGTTCATCCACAAAATGGTGATAACCCATCTTTACTTTTCTCATAGGGTTCTTATGAGAATCAAAATGTTTTTCTCTAAAGGGAAATCTGACCATGTCATTACGTGACTTTTTAAAACCCTGTCACAGCTTTCTCTTGCCCTCAAGAAAAAGTGAAATCCTTTAACATGTCACACGGAGACTTGTGCGGTATGGTTCCTGTTCAATTCTCCACTGTCCTAACAATGAAAGCTCTCTTTCACAAGGCCTTTTGCACAAGCTGCCTGCTTTGCCTGTGAAGCTCTTTCCCGCACCCTTCTACGTCGATTACTACTGGTCGCAATATTGCTAACAGCAATAGCTAAAATCTAATGAATTCTTAGTAAGCGTGGGACACTTTACATACGGTAGCTTATACTTTATGAAGTAGATACTATTATCATCATTTTGCTAATAAGGCACAGAGAAATGAAGTCACTTACCCAGAGTAACACAGCTCTTAAACCTCAGCACTGGCTTACAAACTCACTCTGTCCGCATTCAAAGCAGATGTTCTCAACGCCTGCTATTAGAATTATCAACTTTCTCCAGAAAGTCTAACATCTTTAACATCCTCTTATAGCCAATGTGGTAAGATTAACACTAAAGACACAGGTTTATAATCGCCTGGGTACTTTACGCTTCCCCAACCAGAGGGAAAAGAATCCATTCGAACTCAGACAAGACTGCATCTCATTTAGTTTTGTTTCTCCAGCTCTTGGCAGTTCCTGCTACGCATAATGGGCATCAATAAATATTTGCTGAATAAATAGACGAAAGTGTTTTTAAACAGAAGTCGCAACACAATGTTGTTTTTGAATTTAGTTAAGCAACATCACCAGGCTTACCAGTTTGTGATGTATGGAATCCACTTTTTCCCCTGTTTGCAGTGTGGTACACTTGCTTATATCCGTTCTTCTGCGATTTCTTCTATTTGCCACAATTCCTTTAATACTGCCAGCAAATATTCCCCCTGCACAACTGCGATATTGCCTTTTGGCACAATCTTTTAGACAGGAGGAAAAACTAAAATGTTAAAATTACTTTTCCCTTCGTAGCAATGCTTTAAAATTCCTGAAAACTTTTTTTTTTTTTTTTAAACACAGAGCAAAACATCAGAGATCGCGGAGAGAAACACTATCTTTTAAAAATGAATTTCAAATCAAGACTGGGCTGATGGGAGAAAAGCAATCTAGCACATTTATAAATGAAACCTGGCGCTGCCTAGGCAGTGTTGTCCCCAGGTGGCATCTTATTTTTCATAATATTTTACTGAAGCCTTTCAGTAATATAAATAGAGAAAACAGGTGCTGCACTGAGCAGGGGGTTTGTCCAAATCCACCATTTTTGGCTCAGTTTTCTGATAGAAGGCCCAGCAGTTAAGGTATTCAGTCCTGCAGCTCTCATCGCCTTCAAGGAGAAGGAAACAGAGGAAGGTGGTGAAAAAAGAGGAGAGGAGGGAGAGGAAGTGTGGCAAACAGACGAAACTATCCTTCAAACAGAGCAAGGGCTTTGCCTCCGTCTCCAGGTGCGGACCCTCAAATTGACCGTTTACAGGCTGCTAATTTTGTCTTTTCGATTAAAAAAACGACGCCTGGTTTTGGAAGTTAGAGGATATACAAAGTAGGAAGGTATTCGTCTCGTGAGAACTTCACCACCCGGATCGGCCTCAGGGAAGGCCACCGCGAACCGCGCGTCCTAACCGCCGGCTGGCTCGCGGATGCCCCGGGGGCCGGACGCCTGGCGGGGCTTCCCCTCGCGCTCCCGCTACCCACAAACCTTCGCGCCTCGGCGCGCATGCGCAGCGGCGACGGCCCTCTCAGGAAGAGGAAAATGGAATAAACAACTCGGAGGAACCAGAGCGCGAGAGAGCGAGTGGAGGCAGAATTTAAAAATAAACTGGCCCCTCCACCCTCCCAGCCCGTTCGCCGCCGCCGCTCCCCCTTCCCAAGCCCGCTCCCTCGAAGGCCCCGTCTGGGCCCGCGCGCCCACCCCGTCGTCCCGCGCGGCCCCTTTAAGAAAAGAGAACGAGAGAGTGAGTGAGAGAGAATCCCAACTCTCCCCCTCCCTTCCCCTCCTTCCTACCCCCTCCTCCCTCCCCTCTCCCCTCCCCCCCTCTCCCCGGGCGGCTCCGGCTCCCGCAGCGGGACAGACCCACCCGCCCAGGCTTTTATCCGGCACCGGCAGCGTCTTCCTTCCCTTCCCGGTCTATGGTGGCGGCGGCGGCGGCGGCGGCGGCTCCTCGGGCGGCAGCGGAAGACGAGGCTGCGGCGTTGCCATGAACAGTGGCGGCGGCCTCCCGCCCCCCTCGGCCGCCGCCTCCCCTTCCTCCTCCTCGCTGGCGGCGGCAGTGGCGGTGGTGGCCCCGCCGGGGGTCGGGGGTGTCCCCGGCGGGGCGGCGGCGGGAGTCAAGCTGAAGTACTGCCGCTACTACGCTAAGGATAAGACTTGCTTCTACGGGGAGGAGTGTCAGTTCCTGCATGAGGACCCAGCCGCCGGAGCTGCCCCGGGCCTCGGCCTCCATAGCAACAGCGTCCCCCTGGCTCTGGCGGGCGCGCCGGTGGCCGCCTTTCCGCCCGGAGCAGTCCCGGGCGGGGGAGCCGGGCCGCCCCCGGGGCCCAAGAAGCCGGACCTGGGAGGCCCGGGGGCCGGAGCCGCAGCCGGCGGAGGAGGCAGCAGCGGCGGCGTCCTCGATGGACCGCGGCTGGCAAGTGAGTGTGGTCCGGGCTGGGAGGGCGGCCCGGGCCTCGGCGCGGCGGCGGAGGCAAGGCCTGGGGCCGGAGGGGGCCCGGATGAGGCCTTGCGACGAGCTTTGCCCGCGGGTCCCCCCCGGGCGCCCCCCCCCCCCCCCCCCCCCCCACCCCCCTTCACCTTCCCTAGTTGGTCTGAAAGGCCTAGGCCGGGCCTGAGCCCTCCTTCCTTCTTCCTGCTTCCCTTCCCCACCGCCTTCGGCGAGCCGGGGAGTGAGGGGAGGCTGGGTTCCCCGGAACGTGGGTGGGTTGACGGGGGTGCTGCGAGTGGGGGCTGGGAGGAAGGGGGATGGGCTGTGGCGTGCGGTGTGTGAGAAAGGGGGTGTCGTTTCCGGGGGGTGTGGAAAGGGGCTGGGTTTGCAGGCACATGTGTTTTGCGTGCCCGTGTGGAGCGGTGTCTGCCGAGTGTTGAGGTTCCCTAGTGGGTGTGAGTGTGGGCAGGGGGCGGGAGGTGATGGGCGGGCTTAAGGCTTCCTGGAGTAAGGCCGAAAGAACGGAAAAAGTTTGTGTAAGGCTGACGGGAGAAAGATTTTTCAAGCAGGAAATGCTTTCTAAGGATTAGGAGTGAAGGGACAGCAACTTGTGTACTGTGCTTAGGTTTAGTCGAGAGCTGAGAGGAGGAATTTCCCAAGACTTGCATTTCGACGTAGTTCTGCTGAAGCCAAGATAAGTTTGCCGGGCGAGAGTAGGGTAGGGATCCTGTCTTCTACAACTTTGCATCAAGCGAACTCTTAGCAGGGAGCCTGGAAAGCGGGTCCGGTGCGGCGTTCACGTGCGTGCACCTGAGCACTTGGCTTCGAGTATGTTGTCAGGGCTGTTGGTATTTTTTCCTTTTTTTCACTTGTCATTATCTACGGCCTTGCAACTTTTTAGTTGTTAGTGGAGTTGGATGTGTGAATGCAGTCTATTTTACAGAATGTTGCTCTTAAGCAAGTGGGGGAGAGCAGGTGTCAGATTTTTCTGTTTCTGAGTATACTATTTCTAAACCAAAGGAAGGGGGAGTCCCGTTTCTTGGGAATTCTAAACAGTTTGCAGATCTGAAGATACTTTGATAGGCATTTTAACTTGGTCATCAGTACATTTTTGTCTTTTTTTTTTTTTAACTGTAAATGAGTTTGGCTTGATGTTTCGCCAGCTGTTTGTACTGTGAGGATTATTGTTTTCCCAGAGATTAGCTTTTTTAAAAGAAAGCTTGCTGTGATGGACTTGGCTGTAATGCAGATGTGTTTGTCCGCATTGATACGCTGAGAAGATTAATTTGTCACTTAGAAGTGTTTTGTAAACATTGGTTACTTTATTGGAGGAAATTTATCACTTTGGAGCAGCAACTTTGCATTTTCAAGGTGAACTTTTGCTGGTTGTGTGAGTTGTGGCTCAAAGTAATTTGATCAGTCTTTGGTAGGGGGAAACTGAATGGTAGCTTTGTTACATACAGAAAGGCATTTTCAAAAAAGCTGGTATTCGATTAAATATGTTATCTTTCTAGGATTTTCTAATAGGCAGAAGTAGTAGATCTGGAACATGAAAGATAGGACAGGATATTGTGAGTAGGTGAAGATGGGAGGTGGGGGAAGATACTGACAATGGCTCAAAGGTGAGGCTCATTCCATACCTCATAAAAGGAAAGTAATTGTCTGGGATATAGGGTCTTGCGAGAACAGGTAGCTATTGCTAAGAAGGCATTTTACAATTTAGTATTTAGTCCTTTAACAGTTATTTGATTAAATAGCTGAGTTATGTATTTAGGTTCTATAGGGCTTGCTTTAACTTGCCCGGTGAAGCCTGAGGCTCCTCTTTTCCGTTGTAGTCTTCTGGGTAACTGAGTCGTACTGGGTTGTGACTCCTTTTGGATGAGAGCAGATTGCTTCATACCGGTGACTGGCAAGTAAAGTTGCTCAGGAATCAGGGAAGAGGACTGTGTTGGTGGTTTAATGGCTGCTTTGAATTTTCACCCTTAAATGTTTGGTTTTTAGTCTGCTTTCTACCTTTTCCTATATTCTTTGACGTATTTTTGGAAACAGGCTTGGTTTGTTAAGTGCACGAGGCAGTTAAACTAGACAGCATATTCTAAGAGGTATTGTTATCAGAAGTTTAAATTTTCTTGCGGACTTGATCATCTAGCATCACAATTTTATTTTGTTTTCATTTTTTCCTTTTCTTTAAACGTAAGATTGTACAGCGTTTCCCTTAGCTGAAAGGTCATACACTGCTCTGATAGGGTAGATCTGCCTGCAGAAATACTTTGGGCTTTATGGAATCGTGTGTGTGTGTGTGTGTGTGTGTGTGTGTGTGTGAGAAAAAAGTTTTTATTGAGGTATACATACCCAGGGAAAAGTGTACAAATCACAAGTTTTGGAATTTTTATAAGTTGAAAACAGTGGCTTATCATCAGAACTCAGATCAAGAAATAGTACATAATCGGTACCCCCAGAAGTCCTGCTTTTGTCCCATCCCAGATGGTTTGCCCCAGTTCCCAAATATAACTTACGGTTTCTAACACTACATTCTGACACTGTAGATTCATTTTTCACTTTTTTGTACTTTTTTGAACTTTATAGGAATGGACTCATAGCATGCACTCTTTTGTGGGCTTGTGAGATATAGTATAAGATAATATTCAGCCTTGATAAATTTTAGGAGGAATATTCAAAGAGGACGGAGTTAACACAAGTTGAGGTAAGATTCAGTGAATGAGTAAACCTCTTCTTTCCATACAAGTGCATTGCCACAATAAAGCAAAATGTCTTCATATTTTTGCCCTTTTATAGGATTTTTCAGTTTTTAAATTAGCGTTCTATTTAGAGATAATGTAGAGTCAAATGCAGTTGTAAAAAATAATACACAGAGAGCTCATTTCATCACTCATTTTCCTCCAGTGGTAACATGTTTCATACCTGGAGTATAGTATCACAGCCAGCATTGATTGATACATTCTGCTTATCGTATTCCTGTTTCTCTAATCTTATTTGCACTTGTGTGTGCGCATGCACGTGTATTTCTGTGGGAATTTCTCACATGTATGTTGGTGTGCCTGCCAACACAGTCAAGACACAGAATGGTTTTGTCACCCTTAAGTTGCCCTTTTGTAAGCCTCCCTCCCTCCCTCCCCAAACCTGGCAACTACCAATTTGCTCTCATTTCTATAATTCTGTCGTTTCAAGAATGGTTTTAAATGGAATTATATAGCATGAAGTCTTTTGGGATTCGTTTCCTACCCCCCCCCCCCCCCAGCACAGTTCCCTCAAGGTTCAGCCGAGTTGTGTGCATTCTTTTTTTTTTTAACTTTGAAAATTTATATTTATCGTTATTATGAAGCAGCGTTTTTTTTTGTTTTTGTTTTTGTTTTGGTTTGCTTTTTTATAGGCATATCTGCTTCGCGTACCAAAGCTGTGAGCATTTACAGTAACCCAGAAGTGATATTAAAGATTTGTGCTAGGATTTTGAGGCATTTATTGACGGACTTGAATATTTATTTTTTATGTATGTATTTTAGGGTTGATTTTCACTTATTTTTAAGTTATGAAAAATTTCCATTGGAACAGCAGTGTATAAAGTCAGAGTAGACCAGTCTTCTCATCTTATTGCCTGGGATTAATTGTTATTAATAACTTTTGTGCTCCTAAAGGCCCTGTCTCCAAGTGCATTCACATTGAGAGTTAGGGCTTCAGTATATGAATTTTGAGAAGAAACAATTCACACACACACACACACACACACACACACACACAAACACACTTAAGTTTGTAGTAGTATTTCTCACCTTTTTTTCTCATATTAATTTACTTTATATCCTGTTTATAAAGTAGTTTAGTCTGAGACTATATAAATGGAATATGGTAAGATGTTTGTCTTATATACTGTTATCATATAGTTGTTAGCAAGCCAATACATGCAAGTATTTGTGTCTCTTATCAGTATATGGAAATTATGACAGGCCTGGGGCTCAGAGATTTTGATTTTAGTGCAGTCTTCCAAA